GGGCCTTCTGGACCCAACGCCGGCCCCAGTCCAGGTCCCGCTGGCGCGCTTCCTCCTGGAGCCGCTGCAGCGACAGACAGAGGTGACTTACTGCCTCAGGTGCATGTCCCCCTAGCCCGCAGGACCTCACCTAGAGACTCTGTGCGTCCTGTGGTCCCCATCCTCCTCCCCCGCTTCCTGCCCCGTCCTCCGCCCTCCTCCCTCCGCAGAGCAGCACTGACTGATCCCACTAGTGGGCGTCTTCCTTCCGGTTTCACCAGACAGAGCTCGGGCCCTGCCTAGATATTTTCCTAGAAGTCTAAGGTTCTAGTTCTTTTAAAAAGTGGCTCTTTCTGCCACGTTCAAGCAAACCCAGTCCTACCTGGTGCAGACCGACAAAGGACATCACGCCCTTCACACACACCCAGGGCCTATTGTGACTTGGTCTCCTCACAACTTTCCAACCACCTTCACACCTCTTTCAACACCAGCTTGTCCTCTGTCGCTCAGGCCCTCAGGCCCTAAGGCCTCGTCTGTATGCCTCTATTTGTGTCATACATTACACCCTACCCCTGAACCGATTCGGTCAGCGCCACCTTCAGAACAGGCCCAGAGCTCAGCCACTTCTCAGCAACCTCCCCTCCACCCCTGCCAGTGTCCCCAGCTCCTTCCTTATTCCCTAAACCTACTGCCAAGGCAGGGGATCCTGTTGAACCTCAGTGACCCCGCAGGTCTCTATTCAAAGCCCTCCACCGGGTCCCTGGAAAAGCCAGGCTCCTGGGGCCGACTTTGAGCCTCCACCTCTGAGCCTGGTCGCCTGCCCACTCCCTTAGTCCCCTGCAGCCTCCAGGCCTCCCCCTCCTCTGGGCAGGCTGAGCTGGGTCCGCTGTGCCTGGAGAGCAGCAGGGAGCAGAGGCTAGGCTGCAGGTTGGGGTAGGGGTAGGACAGGCACCAGCTTCTCCTGGATCTGCTGCTTCTGGGCCAGGCGGATGCCCTCTAGCTGCTCCCGGCTCATCCCCTTCCAGCGGTCAGGAACCACGCGGTGGGGCCCAAAGGAGCTGGCCGCCTGCCGTGGGTTTTCGGAGAGCAGGTCTCCCCGCAGCTGGTTGGAGATCTCAGCCACATTGTCCTCCTGTTCTTGTCTTTTCTCTTGTTTTTTCCTTTCTGCTGACTCCACGGCCTGTGCAGGGTAAGGCGTTAGAGAGGACACCCGGCATGACTCCACGGGGACCTCGGGTCACAGGTCGGCAAACCCCACCAGGCCCTGGCTGGAGGGTTATACTGGGCAGCAAGGACTGGGTGGGCTGGATGGAGGTGGCCCTAAGCTGTCTGAGCCCTGCTGAGCAGGCAAGCTGGGCCTGGGGTCACTCACTACCTGTGGATTTCTGCAGTGGGTACTAACCTCCTTCCCGGCTTGGCCCGGCTCTGCCCCGGGACAGGGCTCTGTGCCCCTTCCAAGGCTCTGGGAACCTCGGGACATCTGTGGGCTAGAGAGAGTGGGTCGTTCCAGCATCCATTCAAGATAAAGAAAAACCCTGACAAAAATAGGTATAGAAGTCCTGAAGGTAGTTAAGGTAGAGACTGACTGGCAGTTAGAAACGCTCCAGGCCCAAGGTAGAGGCAGAACAGAGATGAGGCACGCCAGGCCTGTGGTCAAGGGTTGAGCTGACAAAACGAGGCCCCAAGATGGAGACAGGAAGCTTGGCCAGAGGGCCTCCTGGGAGATGAACAGCAGCTCAGAGCCGCGCTGTAAGCAGCACACTGGTCCAGCAAGCCTGAACCACGTAACAGACGCGCAGGAGATGACCAGAGCACTTTGACCCTGACTCCTGCCACTTCAGAAACACCTTTGTTCTTCTCCATGCTATGCACCCTTGCTACACACCTTGTTTTCCTATTAAATGATATTAGCCAAGTGACTATACTTGCGTACAGGTAAGTACAATTTGACCCCAGAGTAACCTGCAATGTGATTTTACTGTATAAAACCCCCTGGACAAAGAGCCTCTGCAGCAACCCACTTTTGAGACCCCTCTTTTCTCTCAGGAGCTTTCTCTTAATAAAACTTTCCCTACTCATCACTTTTTTAATTCTCAACTCCATTCCTGGCATCCTGAGATAGGAACTCAGCACATCTAACAGGCTGGGAGTTACTTCCCTGTGACAGATGGACCTTACCTTAAATTGATAAAAGCCACTCGTGATAAACCCACAGCCAATATCAGACTAAATGGGGGAAAACTGAAAGCATTCTTCCTAAAATCAGGATCGAGATAAGGGTGTCCAATGTCAGCACACCTGTTCAACATGGCCCTTGGAACACTGGCCAGAGCCAGTGGGAATAAAGGAATAAAAAGGATTTGAGTAGGGAAGAAGTCAAACTATCCTCATTTGCAGATGATATGATCCTTTACAGAGAAGATCCAAAAAAATCCACCAGGAGACTCTCAGGACTGATAAACAAATTCAGCAAAGCTGCAGGATACAAAAGCTGCACACAAAAATCAAGAAAGTTCCTGTATACCAGCAATGAGCTCACCAAGAAAGAAATCAGGAAAATAATTCCATTCACAATTGCTTCCAAAAAAAAAGCCTGGGACTTAGCTCAGTGGTTCCACTGCCTGCCTCACAAGTGCAAGGTCCTGAGTTCAATCCCCAGTACATTAAAAAACAATTAAATACCCAGGAATTAGAAAGACCTCTATAACTACAGTGCTCTGAATAAAGAGATGGAAGAGGACATTAGGAAATGGAAAGACATCACCTATTCTGGGATAGGCAGAACCAATATTGTCAAAATGGCCATATTACCAAAAATATTACATGGATTTAATGAAATTGCAATCAAAATTTCAACAGTATTTTTCACGGAACTAGGAAAAATATGGAAGCCAGAGCATCCCAGAACAGGCAACGAGAGCAAAGCAGCAATCACTACAATCCTGGACTGCAAGATAATCTACAAAGCTACAGTGATAAAAACAGCATGGCACTGGCACAGAAACAGACATGTTTACCAGTGAACTAGAACAGAGAATGTAGACACAAGTCCAGTCTCCTTCAGCTACCTGATTTTTGACAAAGTAGCCAAAAACATATGCTGGAGAAAAGACAGCATATTTAACAAACAGTGCTGTGAACACTGGTACGTGCAGAAGGGTGAAATAGATCTGTATCTCTCACCTTGTACTCAAATCAAATCAAAATGGATCAAGGACCTAGAAATAAAAACAGAAATACAGAATCTGCCGGAAGAAATAATCATAAAACTCTTTAAGACACAGGCATGGGCAAGGACTTGGTGAAAAGAGCACCAACTACAGCAAAGCATGACATCAAGAATCAGTCATTGAGATTACATCAGATTAAAAAGCTTCTGCACAGCAAAGGAAACAATCAACAGAGTGAAGAGACAACCTACAGAGTGGGAAAAACTTTTGCCAGCTACTCCTTCGACAGAGGACTCATATCTGTAATATATAAATACCTTAAAAACACTACCCCCCCAATAAAAGACCTAATCAAAAATGGGCGGTTGAAATGAATAGACCCTACCCAGAAGAAATACAGGTGGTCAATAAATACATGAAAAAATGCACGGCATCATTTGCAATCAGAGAAATGCAAATCAAAACAATACGAAGAGTCTATCTTTCTCCAGAAAGAATGGCTATCATTGTGAACTCCAAAAGCAATAAATGCTGGGGAGACTGTGGGGGAAAGGAACCCTTCTCCATCACTGGCGGGAGTGTAAACTGGTACAACCACTATGGAAATCAGTACGGAGATTCTTCAAAAAACTAAAAGGAGAAATTCTATTTGACCTAGCTATGCCTCTTCTAGATATCTTCCCCAAAAGTCACAGACATCACATTACAGGGATACGTGCATGCCCATGTTGATAGCAGCATGAGTCGCAATAGCTGACCCATGGAATCAAGTCTATATGTCCATTAGCGGAAGAACGGACACAGAAAATGTGGTTTTTACACACGATGGAATAGTATTCAGCCACAAAGAAGGATACACGCAAATCATTTTGAAGAAAATGGATGGATCTTGAGAACATAAACGTTTTCTCCAAGATGAGAGGCCCCAAATATAAGTAAGGTAGAGAGCAAGATAAAAGAGGAATGCTAGAGGACAGAGAGACTGCAGAGACAGGAAGGGGCTCTGGTGAAGGAGAAGAAGGGAAAGGGGTGGAAATGATCCCGCTGCCCTCTGCACATGTACCAGCTCCCCGAGACGGATGTTCAAACATTTCCTAAGAACAAATCCCTAAAAAGAGTGAGTCACCACAGTGGTGACTTTGAAAAGGCAGATGATGTATTGCCACCTCAGTGGTCCTGATGGCCTCAGATACAGCCCTAAGACAAATGTACCCCTGCCAATCACTGCTCTTATCCTTGAGGAGGCTGCACAACCTGCAGTGGGTCCCTTCTGGGCCACGGCTGATTCTCAGGGAGGCTCAGAAACTGATGAGGAGACACTGCTCACGGGAAGGACTCTTCACACGAAGGAAGGACAGGGCTCTGCAAGGCTGGCTGCACTGCGTCACACAGCACGTGACACGATTGAATCGTACACGTCACACCTCTCGGACAGCGCTGTGGGGCAGAATAACCAGTGACAGGAGCAGCTGCTGCCAAGGTGAAGGACAATGGCTGTTATTTACGGAGTCCGGCTGCGGCCACGGCCATGGCGCTCGCTCACTATGGCCAGGGAAGGGTGAGCGGAGAAGGCTGTGTGCATTTCCAGGACGACCACAGTGAGGCAGGCCTGGCCACACCGCTCCCTTTCGTGCCGCTGAAGTTCTCCACATGGTGGCTGCTGTGACCCCGGGCATGGTGGGACATCAGCTTTGGGTGTTTAGGCTGAGATTGGGGGGCTATTTCTTACTCAGGCCAGAGTTCGCTTATGCTGACAGATACAAGTGGGTGTCATCGTTATCCTTATTCTACAGAAAGACTCAGCCGTGAGTGGCTTGCCCAAGGCTAACAGAAGGGCCTGGCCTTGTACCCAGCAGTTGGGTTCTTGAGTCTGCACATAAACCCTGATACCACAACACCTCTCTGGTGAAGTGTGTGGCCCTGAACAGGACCTGGGCCACCAGGGCACCCTCCCTGCTGATGCAGAGTGGGCTGCCCCGAAATCCTGCCTAGAACCTCCTCTTGATGTCCAAGCCTAACCAGCAATGCTAATTCTAGTTAGAAACAGAGCTGCGAAAGCACAGGAAGCACCTGTGATGGCCTTGCCTCATGGTGTCCACTGAGGAGCCGGGGGGCTGAACATACTGGACACATTGCAGGTGAGCACTAACAGTCCATGGAACAAACGCAAAATTCAATCGATGGCTGAGGTAACGTGGCGTGACAAGAACCATCCCAGTGGCCCAGAGGAGGGGCTCGATAAACATTTGAACAATAACATTCAACTATGTTTATGTTCGATAAACATAACGAATAAGTGGTTGTACAGACGGACGGACGGATGGACGGATGGACGGATGGATGACCAGCCAATGGTGGATTAACTGTGAAGAGTCCCATTTTACCTCCAGTTTGCGGTGGAGCATGCACCAAAGGCCTTCCCTTTGGGATCCCCTATAAAAGGACAAGGACCAGATAATCTCGGAGAAGCCCTGCAGCTTTCTGGGTGGCAGCGTGGGTCTCTAGATGGTGTGATGCCCGAGCCATCACCAGCAGTTGGCCCACCTCATTCTCCTCCCCACTGTTGAAAACCTACGTTCTCTGGTCTCTGTTGCAGCCTCTCCAGTATTTTTGATTGCTTGTTTCAGGAAAGAACAACTTGGCGCTTGTATCTCTAATATACTTAGCTCACAATATGGCACTAACTATAGCATAAACACAGGAATCGCCTTCTAAAATACACACAAACACAAGGATAGAGAGTGACAATGTGAAACGCTAAGTGTGAAGCTGAGTTCTGGTATTTTCTGTCTGCTGTCCAAACGGATCATCTTGCAGAGCCTCCATTGGAGTCCACCTTTCTAGTTAAATGATCAAGCCGATGAACTAACCTAGGCCAAGCTCCACTATGTACGGGAAATACAAGTGCATTTGTAAAGAAAGCCTGGGGAGGGTCTGATTTTCAAAAGGAATAAAGATTAAAAGTCACTTCAGCATGAGTCTGAGTAGACACTATCACTATCATCATCATCATCATCATCACCTTGTCAAGCATCTGCCTGTTCTTGGTTAGAACAGAAAGCAGCAGGCGTCGCGACAGTGCCTGCCCCAACACCAAGCCTGTGTTAGGTGTACCTGGATCCTGTTGAACTCCTTCACAGACGCACAAACTGCCTTCCTGGTGGCGCTTTCCAGCTTCTGCAGGTGCCTGGCTGTCTCATCAAACTTCAGCCTGGTCTGTGTGTAGTGGTCCTCTGCAGGGACACAAGCCCCCATCAGAGCAAGCGTGCCCACCTGGAGCACCCTCCCAGGTGTGCGGAACACATGCAGCATGGCTGGTCACACGTTCACCTCTTGCCATGTCCTCGTCTATGGGAAGCACAAGGGGACTAATAATAAGGATCTGCTTCCAAAGACAGTGGGTGAGTTACATGATTTAGTTCAAGCACAGATCTTAGACCTTAGCACTCAGTGAGAGCTGGGGATCACTTCTATGGATCGGTAATGTCTATGATGGGTTGGTAATGTCTGCTGTGGTCCTGGGTTGGTCAGTGCTCTGTTCCTTGATACCCCAGCTCTATCAGGAGGCAGCTACATCCTTACAGTGGGCAAGGGGTGGCAAGAGCCCAGGAAAGGGGTTGTAGAGACCAGTAGGACCCAAAGAGGAAAGACTGCCAGATGTGTGTAGAGTAGCAAAAGGACTTTGCCGAGCTAAGATGACGATAATGAGGAGGAGGAAGAGGAAGAGGGGGAAAGAAGTCAGACAGGGCAGCTGCTTCCCAGCCCAGCCACTTCCCAGCTGTCTTCCACGACTGTTATCTTCTTGGAGCCTCCACAGCCTCCTTTGTGAGATAGTGTGACACCTACTTTCCAAGATTGTTAATTTTTATTTATTTATTTATTTTGGGTTTTTTTGAGACAGGGTCTCCCTATGTAGTTGAGACTGACCTGGAACTCACTATGGCTGGTCTCGAACTCACAGCGATCCTCCTGACTCAGCCTCTCGAGTGGTGGGATTACAGGTGTGGGCCACCACGCCCAGCGATTGTCAGTTTTAAAAAGTCATTGATAGATTGGTCATTTCTGAGGTTTTGTATTTGTGCCTGTAACTTTTCTTGTTATATCCAAGAACAAGGACCAGAGTCTTAGCCTTGAATTTCTGCCCTCTGCTCCCCTTCCGTCTCCTCTAACCCATTGTTTGTTCATTCAGCCACTGAGCAGATAGTGAACAAAGGCCTAGCATGAGCCACCCACTTTGCTGGAGACAGGGACACGTGTGAACAAAGCCAGAAGGGTTTTTCTTGCCTTTCTGGAACTTCCTGTCTAGAAGATGAGACAATAATCAATATATGAACTCTCAAATATACCTATTTAATAAAATATGACCGCCTGCAGAGGAAAAAAACAGGAGGCTAAGGCAAGGTGTTGGGAACGCCTGGCTGAGGCAGCTGTGGTAGGGACAAGAGAATGCTTCTGTAGGAAATGACATTCACATTCAGATCTGAATGACAAAAGGGGCTGGGTGAGGAGAGGCTGAAGATTCCGAGGTAGATAGGATTTGGGATCTAGAAGCAAAGGAGCCAAAATGGCGGCACAGCGGAAGTGGGTGGGTGGCAAGAGTCTATATGAAGGAGTGGGCAGCAACCCAGCATGAAGAGCCTTGGGGCCACGTTTCGTTCCATATGCTGTGGGAGCCATCAGAGGGCTCTGAGCTAGGACAGAGGGAGCCAGTGCGCCACTGTTCAGCTTGACATCGCTGAGCAGAATAGCCAGGGGAGGGGAAGGAGAGGGTGTGGAAGACGTGACCTTCCGCAGTGGTCTGTCTGGATGAGGAAAGGTGGTGGCTCAATCATGATGGTGACAAGGCGGGTGCAGAGGGGTACAAAATTCAATATACAGCAGGAGTTGAAAGGGATGGAGCTGAAGATTGGAGACTGGGGAGATCAAGGCCTCCCCCCCCAGGTTTCTGGGGTGGTAAGGCTCAGGAAAGCCATTACTGAGTGGGAAAGATGTCAAGGGAGATGTGGGGAGATGTCAAGGAGGCCACCCAAGTCTAGGACCAAGGCTCTTGGCCAGAGACAGAAGACTGGAGCAACCGGAAGAGAAACAAGACATTCACATGCTAAGAACTAAGCATACAACAGTGAACGGAACACACAACAATCCTTTGCCTTCACTGAGCTTCGGGTATGATATAGCGAAGAGGGGTGGCAATTACATGAACTATACCATATGTCAGTGACCAAGGCAATGGAGAAGCTGGAAGTGGGACGGCCAGGAGTTCGAGGTCAGCCTGGGCGACATAGTGAGTTCAGGACCAACCTGAATTACATCATGAGACCCTGTCTCCACAGACAAACAAACGGATGCTCAAACAAAAGGCTACGGAAAAAATTAAGCAAGGAAGGGGATAGGGAAAGTAGGGATGGGTTAGGCACAGGATTTAAAAAGGGGGGACAGGGGAGACCTTACTGATAAGGTGACATCTTAGCCAACACCTGGCAGAGGAGGAGTAAACCAGGTAGACGTCTGGGGAAAGATGTCCCTAAGCAGAGGGAGCAGCAGGTGCCTGGCACACACGCGGCCTAGGAGTAGCACAGAGGTGGCATGGAGAGGCTGGGTAAGGCGTGGGGCAGTGACGAGGCCTGGCTACGAAGGCCTTGTAGATCCCTGAGATGAGCTTGGGACGAAGTGGAAGGAGACTGGAGTACGACTTCACTATCACAGGACTGCTCCGGCTGCTGGCTCGAGGGGACTGCGGGGGATACAGGCGGAAGCAGAGACCAGGGAGGGGCCATTGCAACACGTGAGGGACACTGACATAGCTTGGTCCAGAGTGACAATGGGGAGGCGACAAGAGTAGCTGGAGTGGGAGATGGCATCACGGTGTGGCATCTAAGAGGAAGGAGCCCGGGGGACTTGGGTTGGGGACCAGAGACAACTGGAAGAGTGGATTTGCACTGTGGCACATGGACAGTCAGGCCAGCCAGGGGATCAGTGTGTCACTTGCCTTGTCTGACTGTGACATGTTGGAGAGGTGCCCTGGGTAGAGCAGTAAGGTGGATTTATGAGTCTGGATTCAGGGCAGAGTCCCGCCCAGATACGGAAGCCTGGAAGAGGACAGCCTGTACGCAGGTTTACAGATGAGACTGCCTGGGGATGCACGAAGCTGACAGGGGACAGGCCCTGAGAGCCCTGCTGTGACAACAGCCAGAGACTCAGAAAACCAGAGCCGGGCAGGGCGAGGACAGGAGTGGATGTGGTGTGCTGGAGGCCAGACCTTATGCTATTTCACAGAGGAGGAAATAACCAGTGGTGTCAGCTGCTGCCAACGTGCCAACCAGGTGACATGGAGATCACTGGTGAGGCTGGTCAGGGCAGCCCCAGCAGAGGAGGAGGGCTCAGGAGAGCAGGAGGTGATCTCGGAAGACATCACTCATGGAGAACAGAGTAGGAAGAAGAGGCTGGAAGAAGACGAGCTGAACAAGGAGACTGCAAATTAACAACCGGAGAAGAGGGGCTCAGGAGGGCAGGGGGCACTGCTCCCCAGCCCAGCACCCTCTTCAGGCTCCACCACAGCCCACAAGGACAGGGATGTTGTCTGTTCCTGACATAGGAAGTGACCAGGAGGACTGGAGACTCCTGAGGCTGCATGCAGGGCAGGGTACCGGTGGCCCCAGTGACAGCAGGACTTACTGGGATGTTGCATGCCTCGGAGGCTTGGTCTGAGAGGTGCTCTGGGCCTGGGGAGTCCTGGTGATACCATGTGACTTCCACCCCAGCACCCAGGAGACTTGGGGGGACCTGTGTCTCTGTTCAGCTTCCAAGTAGAATGTGAACATCATGAGGGCAGAGACGGATCCTGGCGAACCGAACTGTAGCATCCGACATGCTCAGAAGGGTTTTCTGTTCTACTAATGCATGAGTGGAGATGTCTGACCTCTCCTGGAGCCCAGGATCTGACTTCTCTTTCCCTGTATGCCGAGGCAAGACACGGCAATGCACACTAGAGAAGCTTTTTTAAAATACCCACAAAAACTGAGCATAGTGGTGCAGGCCTATGATCCCAGCATTTTGGGAAGCCGAGATAGGAGGATCTCAAGTTTGAGCCCAGCATGGGCAATTTAGTGACTTGGTGAAACTGTCTAAAAATAAAAAAGGGGGTAAGGGTGTAGGTGAATGTGAAAGGCCTTGGGTTTAATCCCAAGTAACAACAACAAAAACCCAAAACAAAACAAACCCAAACACTGGAGGGACTGATATGCTGAAAAAACTGTTAAGATCAATTTATCTCTCTTTCATCACCTGCAAGCTTCTGGTCAGCATGGGCCCTCTCCCATTCCCTGTGCTGTTGTAAGGACCATTCTCTCATCTGTTCCTCCTGGAATTTCTTCCTCTCCCAGAAGTTTAGGTCCTCGCCCATAAACTTCTGCATCCCTGATATTGTGTTCCGGACATCACTGTCTGACTGCCGGGCTGGAAGCTCTTTCTTAAGGGCGAGGGGGTCAGACAGATCAAACTCGCGGCGAGTTTCTGGCTTCTGATAGTTCTGTTGGAAGTTACTGATGGCTCTGCAGAGACATTTCCTATGTCTCTTCTCCCGGTCATCTAGTATGCAGCTGACCTTGTCATTTTGCCTCAATTCGGCAGCTAGAAAAGACAAAGCACATCCATAAGCTCAAGAGGAAACATTTTAAAATAATTTGAATGATAATTCAAGTACTACAACCCTCCTTGCAAAAGGTAACATAACCATTAAAGAATTCCTATACTGAATATACAAAGAACACCTACACATTCAGTTTTAAAATCATAAACAACCTAACCAAAAAGCGAGCGAAGAATAGCACCAGGTAAACCAATATAAAGAAACTGAGTGTTCAATAAAGTTGTGAAAGGGTGCTAAATCTTATAAGATGGTCAACCTCCCGTGAACTTAATACTTCAAATGTTAATAATAGCATCTATTATGCTACATACGGGGAAACAGCATCTCATTCCCGATTATGTTGGTGATAGAAGAAGGCAAATTAATCCCATTTCAAACTCTGACCTAAACCTACAGCAGCACTACTTGAATCATTGTCTGACATGTTGAATCAGGTTCATCGGCGCAGGGATGGGAACACAGGTGTGCGCGCGTGTGTTATAACGCGTGCACATGTGTGCTTAAGGCTTTTCTAGTTTTTAAAGGAAACGGGGAAACATAGTTTACCCTTAAAATATATCTCCTATGACCTACATTAGAATTCAATTTTCTTTTAAGAGAGGAAGAGTTTGCTCACTAGGTCAACTGAGGACAAGAAACTGAATTTCTAAAAGGAGGAAAAGCACGGAAATGACCTGCTTTCTCGTCCTGGTCTCTTCTCGTCCCTCTACTCCCTCCCCACTTTGCCCTTCCCCTTCCTCTTTCATTCTGACTTGTCTCTCTTTTCCTTCCTTCCTTCCTTCCTTTCTCAAGTTCTAAGACGGAACCCAGAACCTTATGCACGCTAATGGGTACTTTAGGACTCTGCTACATCCTAGCCTAACAACACACACACACACACACACACACACACACACACACACACACAATCTCATAAAGAAATGAAGACTGCAACCTAAAGACACCCAGCCCCGAAGCCACAGACAAGTGTTCAGGAAATCCTCACCAAAGGTTTCATGCCTAGCTTTTTCAGTTGCTTCTTTTATCTTCTGGTCCTGAACCTGAATATTCCAGGCTTGTGTGTCTCCCTGAGAATGGAAAATTGGGGAAGAGTGGTTAGAGCTCGCATACATTATTAAGTAGATAACAATTCTCATCTTTTTAACCTGGTCCTCCTTTAAACGAGCTGTTTTAGGTGCCCATTCAGCCCTTTCCACGTGGTTCTTCAGCCTGTGCTCCCCACCTTTCCCAGAGCTCCCTTCCTCTTTCTTAGGTGGAAGACACTCTTCTGTCCCTCTCAATTCCAGATCAGCCAGCAGGCAGCCAGGGGCTCCTTTCTCACAGCACTGACCCTCCTTCCCGCCTGCCTCCTGCACTGAGCGTGACCTCTGCATACTCAGGGATGCCTGATCCCTCATTTCCTGGGCGTGGCTCAGACTTGCCACCAAACAGGAACTCCACCAGCATTTGTCAAATGAATGGGCTGAGCCGGGGCGTGGTGGCGCACGCCTATAATCCCAGCACTTGGGAGGCTGAGGCAGAAGGATCGCTGTGAGTTCAACACCAGCCTGGGCTACACAGTGAGTTCCAGGTCAGTCTCATTACATAAGTGAGACCCTGTCTCAAAAAACAAAACAAAACAAAAAAATTAATCAATCAAATGAATGGGCTGGAAGGAACGAGCCCCTGGCACTGTAGTAAACCTGGCTCAGAGACTGAAAACCGGGTTCTTTGTGAGTTTCCACTTCTCTACCTACTCCAGGCTCGTTCCCCCATCCCCACTCCCATGGGCCATCTGAGGCGCCTATGCAGGCGTGAGGCAGCCCTATTTGGCTTCTTAAAGGTCTCTTACCTTCTGTGCACTCCAGCAAAACCCGGTGCGGTACAACTCTACCTGAATCAGAGGCTCATGCTAAACTTCCTCCTCGGGTCTCTCCCGCCGCCGCCCGTCCCCTCGGCCCTTCCCCTTCCCCTTGGGATCCCGGCCTCACCCCGATGATCCGGTTCCTGGCGTTGAAGACCCGCTGCTGCCTGCACAGCTCCGCGTGTGTCCTCTTGGCCAGCTTGGCGTTCTGCTCCAGGTCCTTGGCCAGCGCTACGTTCATGGCTCTGGAAAGCGACCCCAAACTCGAAGGGGTTTTCAGAACAAGTAAGGTAAGAAGAACTCAAAACAATAAAGCAAGCTGCATCTCAAGCGAAGCTGGCCGCCTGGGACTTCGCGGACTTGCAGTTGTGCGTAGGTTCGCTTCCAGAGAAACGCCAACTCTGGTTGCTAAGGAACGGCGTACTCTCGCGCCGCTGTCATCTCGCGAGATTTGGCCGAGACTTGGCGCGCGCCTCCCGCGCTTTTCCAGGCTCCTCGTGAGAACGCCGGCGAGGCGCGAGCTCAGGCATGGGCAACCTGGAGCTGCTGCTGGTGGAGAACTTCAAATCCTGGCGGGGCCGCCAGGTCATTGGGCCCTTCAAGAAGTTTACGTGCATCATCGGCCCCAATGGCTCGGGTAACTGGCGCCGCGGCGGGGCTCGAGGCAGGCCGCAATAATGGCCTGAGGGATGTGGCGCCCCCCAACCCCGTGTTCTTCCCTTCAAGGCCGAAACCCACTCCTCTCTGCTCTTTCTCTTGAGCTACCCCTACCCTTCTCCTCTCTCCACTCGGGGACCCTCACCCCTCCCTTCTCTTCCTCAGGTGACCCCCGCCTGCCTCGCCCCTCCCCCTCCCCCTTGTGAGCCTTCACCCTCCAAGGCCCTCTTCTTGGGGGCGGCCCTCACTGTTCTCCCCCGACCCCCTCAGGGACCCTCCCCCTGCGCCCGCAACCTGAGGGCCCCACCTCCCTCCACCCCAGGCACTCTCTCCCTTCCTCCTCGTGGGACCCTCGCCCTCCTCCCCTCCTTGGAGGACCGGAACCCTCCTCTCCAACCTCTCCCCCGGGCGCACGCTCACACTCCACGGCTCCCTCGCCTTGGCCCAGCCTCTGCTGTCCGGCTCAGGGTCCTCCTCCTCACCTCTACTCCCCAACACCATCCTCTCCTTTCCCCGGCCCCTCCGAAGCTCTTGGATGCCTGCCCTAGTCCTAGGCACCCTGCACATAAAGAGTAAAGCAGCGAGAGCTCTGGAGGAGGTGGTTGGCTCCAGGGAACCTGAACACCCGTTCCACCCCAGGAACCACCAACTCAGGAATACCGTGATAATGACCCCCTTGATGGACCTTTACCAAGTTTCTGGTACCACTAGTTAGTTTTGTTGAACTCTAATGAATAAATAGATTTAATTCTCGTCTTGTAGTTAGGACACAGATTTTCAAAGAGACCAGGTGACTGGCCACAGTGGGCCAGTGAGCGGCAGAGCCTGGACTCCCTGTCAAGGCGAAAGAATCATAACCTGGAGCAGTTCTTAGTGATTCCCAGCATGTGCCCTTTTGGCTCTCTCAGCTTACATTTCCTTTTTTAGACTTGAGTTAAAAATTGACTGTTGTCTCAATAAATTCCTGACAGATATGAATAGAGCACTTAAATATGTGCTTTCCTGGCACACAAAATCTAGTGTATAATTTATTATGGAATTTGTGTGAAATTTCTGTTGACTTATACAAGTAATTGCTAGTGTTTTCCTTTGCACTAGTACATAGGAAAGATACCAGATCTTAGAAATATTCATACGCGAGAAAGTTTCCTTGCCTCTTCTGCAAAATGTATTTCCTTATCCACTTTATTCTGTTATCAAGAAGACTCTGAATTGATAATCATAAAAATTCTTGCATTCTTACTCTGACTTTCCTGACTTATTAAAAGATCACTGGGCCCCTTACCAGTTAATTTTCACCTTCTAGGTGATTAGGTGAAGGTTGCTTGTTATATTTTGTAAGTCGAATTGTAATGCTTAGAATATGTATGCAAAAATTTGAACTTAAGCCTGCCTAAACATGTATTTATTATAATTACAATCTCATTAAAGTAGCGTTTTAAACATTTTAAACTAGTGCCAAGCTTAAGTTTAAAAATGATTTCATTGTTTTCTTAAGTTAAAAGTATATACTGCAAGCTGTGTGTGATGGCATGTGCCTGTAATCCCACCAGGAAGGAGGCTGAGGCAGGAGGATTGATGAGAGTTTGCGGCCAGCCTGCACTTCAAAGCAAGACTCTCTTTTTAAAAAAAGTTGTATCAAAAACAAAAAACAGCTGAGGATTTAGCTCAGTGGTTCCACTGCCTACCTCCCAAGCACAAGGTCCTGAGTTCAATCTCCGGTACCAAAAAAAAAAAAAATTTGGTCTGGGGATTTAGCTCAGTGACACAGTGCCTGTTTGGCAAGCACCAGGTCCGAGTTGGATCATCCCTAGTACCAAAAACAAAAACCAAAAAACAAAAATACAGTACATATTGAAGAGTGGGTGTGCAGCCCTATGGAAGAGCACTTGCCTGGCATGTACAAGGCCCAGAATGAGAAAAGAAAACATTTTGATTAAAAACATATTTTGAGTTTATTTACAGAAGGTCTTTACAAATTCTTTTAACTCCTGCCTGAACCCACTTGCCCTGGAAGCTCAATTCCCCCTCTTGAGACTACTTGAAACGACATAAAACAGGTCATACATTACTTTAGCTTTGCATTCTGTACCATCTAGCCACACAAATTTCTGGTCTTATTCTGGATTGGGTGTTTGTTTTTATTTTTTGACACAGGGTCTCACTATATAGTTCAGGCTGGCCTCAGACTGGCTGAGATCCTCCTGCCTCAGCCTCGAGTGCTGGGATTACAGGTGTGAGCCACTATGCCTGGCTTATTTCTGGATTTTGTCTAGACAACTGTTCACATTTTGCTATATGAAGTCCCAAACTCAGTATGGTACTTAGGATAATTTAATCTCACAGAATTATTGGTACATTCAAATAAATTTTGTTAAACTGATTGATTAGTTCTTGTTAGACTTTAACTTAGTTGGTTATTTATTTTTAAATAATTTTTTGTTGTTATCACCTGCTCAGACTTAACATGATCCCATTTTTTTGTTTTTGGTAAATACAGTTTTGAGTTTTAGTGGGTAGAGGAAAAGTTTTGATTTTAATCTTAACTTTCATGTTTTTCGTTCAGTTAGATTTAACAAATGGTGTGTGTGTGTGTGTGTGTGTGTGTGTGTGTGTATACATAAGGAGCAGAAAAAAGGTACACAGTAAGGCACCTGTTTCTGATGTGTAGCGAGTCTAAGAAAATAACACACTAATTGAAACGGAAGGCCAATTTACAAGATTATAAAACTTTAAACAGGAAAGAAAACATGGGATTTGAAGAGGTATGGACAGGAAGATGTGTATCAGGGAAGATTTTCAAGAGGATATGGCATTTGAGCTTATTCAAAGAATAAAGAATTTTCCCAGGGATTTGTGAAGTGTGTCTGTGGGATACTTAATGGTCAGGGTTTGCCAGAACATAGTGCATATTTAAAGAAGCAGGAGATAAAAGGTTGAGATCCTGAACTTTGTGAGAACAAAAAGGTTAGACTATGAGAGATGTTAGTGGGGAAATACCACAGTGTGTTTGAGTCTCAGGCTGTCATTTCTACTGTAGTCCTATCCCCTCTTCAAGTCTTTGCTTTTGTAAATAATTCCCTCTTTCATTGGTGTAAGTGCTCTGTTAAGACTAATTTTTTAAAAATGTTATGGTTTTCTTGCAGAAAGCAAGTAGTACGTTAATTGTAAAAGTGATAAATATATGGCATTTGGCAAAATTTTGCCAACTTTTCTGTTTACAGTTTGAACATGTTATAGTATATTCAGAGAAGAGTCCCTTGAATATCACTTGTCTCCTCAGACTGTTAGCCTACATTTTTTATTAGTACAACTAAACTCTGAAGTAATTGATTGTAGTCCTTTATCTTCTACACCTTTTGACTTAGTTCGAGACCAAAACTCCACTGAAATGGTATTTGTATCTTATAAAAGCCAGTGGTCAATTCTGTGTCTTCATCCTGATTCATCTTTTAGCATTGTTTCATTCACTTAAAAATAATTGAGTGCCATGCACTGTTCTAGGCTGTTTTACAGGTGGAACAGGTAAAAACCACTGCCTTTTATAGAGCTTGTGTTTAATGGCAAAGAGACAACAAACTAAATATGAAAAGTAGTTAGAATGTTAGAAAGTAATGTTATAAGGAACAAAACTGGGAAGGGAAATAGGAAATACTGGAGGTGTTTTTCAAGAAAGTAGCCAAGGGAAAGCCTCCTAAGGTTGCAAAAGTAGGTAACATTTGTGCCTCCATCCTGAAACACTTTGCTCTCTGGACTTTTTCATCCCCTGCTTCCCTTCAGTTATTGGCTGCTTCTCCCCTACATGTAAGAATTAGTGTACCCCTGGAACATACCCTCTGTCCCTTTGTTTTTTTTTTTTTTTCCAAAGTGCTATCCAGTCCCACAATTTTAGATACAACCCTTAGACTGATTTTGAAAGTTACATCTCAGTATTAGTACATTTTCCTGTGTGTTACGTTAGTACCCAAGCTGTTTGCTGTTTCTAGTAGACATGTAAAATTTAACAAAGTTTTTAAAAAAGTAATTGATTTCCTGTCCCCAGCCCTTACCAAAAAACAGGCCTGTTCTTTCCTAGTATTTATTAGTTCAGCAAGAGGCACCATTTACTCATTTATTCAGAAGCCTCAGAGCAGTTCTTAATTCCTCTTTTTCTACACTCCACTTCCTTCATCCAATCATTCGTAAATGATGTGGCTCTTCTGTAAGACATACGCTGAATCTGATTCCTTCTTTCCTTGCCCTTTTCAGTGCTGTAACAGTCAAAGCTGCTAAATCTGTCACTTGTCTGTCTGTAATTCATCCTCAATGCAGCCAGAGTGAGCACTGAAAAACAAACAGACAAAAAACACTAAATCAAGCACTTCCCAGTTTAAAATTCTCCAGTGGCTTCCCCTTGCACTTAGAATAAAAATCCATGTTTCTTGCCATGAACCTTAAAGCCCTTCTGTTCCCTGTATATTTCTCCGCTATAATTTCTCTTTTACATTTACTGTGTGATTGGGTCAGAACTGCTGTGGTTCCTCCCTGGATTAATGTAAGCAACCTTTTAGTTGAGTTCCCTACCTTCTGTCTTACCCAATTTTAAACCTATGTGCCATACAGCTATGAATTAAAAGAACAAAAGGATTCATTTTATCTTCTCGATAGACAAGGAAAATTCTGACAAAATTGAAAACCCATTTCCATTCATGGGATTTTTCTCTGGACGGTGTTGTGATTTTCAAGTGATGTTTTTCCTGTATTTTCACAATTTCCTACATGAATG